GTGTGTGTGTGTGTGTGTGTGTGTGTGTGTGTGTGTTTCTAAATGCATGATTAATAGTGTGGTAGTCAACAATGTTCAATTCCCCGTTTCGTTTCATCATTCGATGATCTTTCATTCCCAATTGACATTGATTATTTCAATGGCTTTCTTGCTTCATTCTTGCTATGTAATTTCAAAATTAATGTTACCTTGTCTGCTCTATATGATTGTTGTTATTGCTGTTTACATTACCTTTTTTTCTTTTTTTTTTTGTCTGTTCAAACGAATCATTTATTTCAAAATAGAATAAATGAGTAAAATGAACATTGAAAAAATTTGCTAATACAAATTTAATATCAGCTTTTGTTGGAATTTAATTTCATCTCTATTGTTCTATTATTCATTTTTGTAATGTTTTATTTCATCAGTTTTCCATTAATTTATGTGAGGGATATTTATTGCACTTTTCAATTCCACTCTTATAAGCGTTTAAAATGTTCTTTTACACCATAATTAAGTTTACTTCCTCATTCGTTAATTTAATGAGTTAAATTCTTTCGTGAGTAAATATACGCAATAATAGGGATCTAATTTTGAAGAGTCACGTATAGAAGTTAGCTTGCATGGAAACATTATCTTTAATCTATAGTACTTAATATTTCAGGTGTTCATTTTGATGTATTTTCGAAATTTTTTAATTTAGTCTAATCCTTAATCTAACTCTCTTTTTATATATATCGTGTATATTCATGAAATATATTCTTATCAATGAATGTGACAATAAGTTTAAATGAAGGAAGTGAATGAAATGAATTATGAGAGATTTGCAGTTGTTAAAAAGAAAAAAGAAAGAAAGAAAAAAAATATTGAAACATTTATCACATGTATTACTGATAATCATCATCATTTTTCTTTTTTTTTTTCATTTTTCATCATAATGTTAATTCATCATCTCAGATAATTGTATAAATTGGTGCAGTTATATTTCAGCATAAATCATCATTATAAGTTCAATACATTTAAAGCTATCGCCAGATTAAAATTCAGGATATTGAATAAAATTGGCATCAAGAATGTTACTCAATAATTGTAACAGAATATATTTGTGATCAAATTTAAATCATGTTGAGTTGTATGTTCTGTGGGAAATTTGCATGCAGCGTGTAACGAACAATTTGTTGCAAAACGATTTTATCATGCATCGTTCCTCATGGTAAGGTTATTTGTTCATATTTATTTTCTCATAATTCATCCAATTTCATTTCTTTCTTCCCTTCTAAATTTTCTTTCATAATGATATCATCATTAGGATTTTCCAGCGGAATAAATTTATCCACCATAATGAAATTATTATTATACATCTTTTTAAACACGTTTATTTCTCTTCATACTTTCCTTCCTTTTACTTTTCCTTTCGCTGGGAATAATCCTCAAAAATAGCTCACTATCGACACATTTTGATACATTTAAAATTTCATTATTGAATTCTCCATTTTAGATTTTTGCAATAAATAGCTAGGTTTGGGTGGAATGGAAGCACAGATCTTTTAATCTGTTCAGTACATTTATTTCTTATAAATCTTTCATATTCTATTATGATAATGATTATTTTTGAATATGTGTTATCACTTCAACCAACTTTATAAGCACATTTCGATACATTTAAAATTTCATTATTGAATTCTTCATTTTAGATTTTTGCAATAATTTTACTACTTATTCCAATTGCTCTATGTAAAGGTGAATACTGCGGAGAAAATAAGATACCATTTGGAATTGAAGTTTATCCAAATGCTCAACCACTTTTGCACTGTTCCCGTCCATCATGTTTTGAACATCGCTATGCGGTCAATTTGTTATTTTTTTATTTACTTTCGATTTTCATTTAGTTATTTAATTTTGAAGCTATTCTACCATTAATTAATCAAAATGTTGATGCAGTAATTTTTGCAATCTGTTGAAAATACTCGATGATTTTATTTATTTTTAAAAATTATAAAAATCTACGATAATATAAAATACTTACAAAATTTGAAGCCAATCGACAAATCTATTTTTGAGCACTATAAAATACACTCGATTTTTTTTGTGTTTGAAAAATTCGCAAATAAAGATAACTTTAATTGTTTTATAGGATTGTGATGATCGTGCACAACGCAAATCATGCGAATCAAATGACAGCTGGGTCGGAGGCTTTGAAAAGGGCTATGGGAATCATCAACCGTTTGTTTTTTAATGGTTTTTTTAATGCCTAAATCTTATCTGTTTGCTTTCTCTAAATTAGATCAAATTTTGATCCGGACATGATAGCTTTGCATTAGTATATACGTGATAAATTTTAAAGAGCAGAGAAGTCCGATTCATTTAAGATTTTAAGGGATTGTAACTCTCATTAAATTTCCAATTAAAAAAAAAAAAAAGAAAACTGAAATTCAGATTGTATGTACAGTGTTGTGAGTTTGAGGGCTTAGCCGATCATTCCAGTCCGCTTTATCATACAATCATTAGGCCGGGACAGTATTTTGAGGGTGAGGAGCAAGTCGAGGAAGAAACCGATACAGTTGTTTCATTCGACCTTATCACAGATTTCAGAATGATTCGTCCTCCTAATTTATCGTTAGTTAATTTTTTAAATCAAATTATATAATTTATAGTTTTTGTATGACCGGCCAAGAAGTATATTAGATGGGAATGTTGGAAAAGTTGAAATATTTATATTACAATTTGCTGAATTGAAAGTACGCTATGTTGCAGGATTTTTTATGAAATGACGGTACGACGCTTGCGATGCTATGAGTTGCCACCCGTAGGCAAGATTAAACGTGCAAGACGTTGGCCGTAATATCTTAACGTTAATACATTTTATGCTTCTAATTGCCAGCAAATAATAAAATATCCGTTATATCCTATATACTGTTTTTATTTATAGTAACTACAAAAAGTATAAACAAAATATTTGTTATCCAAAACTGAGCGATTTGTTAAATCAATCAATTGTGATACTATGAATCTGACTAATAATCATGTACTAAATAAGTATTAAAATTAATTTAGTAAAATGTAAGCATAAAAACATTAACCGTATTTTTAAATGATTTAACATTTTGGGATAAAATAAGCGTTCAATAAATATCGAATATCAAAGTCTTCAATTTAATTGATTTAAATAAAATAATAAGATGTACATGGTTGTAAATGGGAAGGTGTATATTCAGGAAGGAAATTGATGCTCATATTATTTCATAGTTTCCCTTGAAATCTATAAATTAATTTATTAATAATTCAATAGTTAAAGTTAACAGATATTCTTGTTATTAATGGTTGGAAGAATTTTGAATAAGAAACTTGCTCCTTGCAAATCACACTGTCTATTTAAAAGGTTACATGGTTGTGAAGATGATCATTGTGAAAGAAGAGAGCGGATGAAGAAGGGAAAGGAAGAAGTGATTGAAGGAGGATATGTAGTGATTTCTGTGGAATCTATCCTAAAACAGGCTTTCCAGTTTTAAAACGAGGAAATGAAACAGCGATTGAAGGGCCCCGAAAAAAGAGTATGTTGTAGATAGTGGCATTCTTTGAAAAAGGAAAACGAGATTTCGCTGGCCATCCAATCCATTTACCAATGACATGATTCAAAGATGAAAATGTTGCTCATTTTAGTTTCAGTTCCGTAAAAATATCGATCTTTAAACAGTATTCGTTATCATTGTTAAAGAAGAGAAAAAAAAAGTAAAAAAATATATTTCATGTTAAATTTTGCTGACTATGTTGAAATTTTAACAATAACAAAATTATCTTGCAAATACTAAAGATATTTATTTCTTCGTGATCAATCAATCCCTCTATAAATGCAAAATTAATAATTTGTAATTCTTATGATTCTGTTCTGTTCGGAGTGATTGTTGCAACAAATCAATAAATGACACTTTTTAATCGCTTGTAAACAGCAAGATTCATGAACAAGTATATAGATATACGAATGACGTCATTTAATGGACAACAATGAAAAAAAAATCGCTTGAAGCTGATTGTTCACTTTTTTTTTTCATATTGCCGTAATTTAACTTTAATGATCAACTTCTGCATTTTCAAAAATCAGTTATTCGTTATCGAATGGTTCAGAGTAAGTGTAAACAATGTCAACTTATTAATATTTTGTCGCATTATTTATTGATAACAATTTACCANAAAAAAAAAAAAAAGTGATAAGATGAACCACTCATTTGTCTTGTTAGTTGTTCATCCACTATATAACATATCTGCGGTCCATTTGTCCACTAATCCATCAAAATGCCAATATATGTTTTATCAACTATTCACATTTATCTCTGTTCTGAAATCAATCATTATCATTTTGCTGATGACATTTTGAAATAATGTATTTATTGTTTTACTCAATCATCTTGCAACATAAATTTAATAATGTTAAGCTTCAAAAACTCTTCCAATCTATCATTTGCAACAGTTTGATTACACAAAATTGATGGATGTTTAAGTTTGTCCTAAGTAGATAATAGGATCTACAATTTTAAATTATGAATTGAAATTATACCTATTCCAGTATATGTTCCAGTTGTGATGCATTCATATGTTAGGAGTGGTAATATTTGAGAGCCTACAGAAACTTATTTTACCATTTCAATCTTCAAGCTACTAATTTAATTCTTCTAATAATTAAGTTATTAATGGCTTAAATCTTCTGGTTTCAACCAGCTAATACATAACAGTTAAAATCTTTCCCGTCATCCTAAACTATCAAAATCTCATAAAAGCATATTTGGTCATACTGAAATACAAATTGACGTAGGTGTAACAAAGTAATTTTGTAGATCATTTCATCTGTGTTGATTGGGTATAATTGTGAGTGAATGTTTATGAATTATAGGAAGAAAAAATTATAGGAATTACATTTAGGATTTAGAATACTTTATAACTAATCGTTAAATTATTTATGATTCGAAACATTTCTTTCTGTTTTTTTTTAAGTTTTTTTTTTATATCAATAATGAATATGTTGATTGTTTATAGGAATTACAAGCGATTTAGGTACATTTAAAAAAAAAATTGTTTTTTGAAATTTCCTTGTCCATTGACGACTACTTGTTCAAGTTAATAATTGAAAGATAATTTGATTACTGCTTCAATTATTGTATTTATTTCTATCAAAAAGCTGATATCTGTCTTTTTTTGAGAAATTTCAGTTACATGAAGTAAAAAGTAAAAATTAATTCTACACCACTTTATGTGAAAAATAAAAGATTTTATCAGAGATATTTATGTCTTTGAAAACCACAACTGATTTATATCAAAACTGCTCGTAAATTCAGTGCTGTATGTCACTTCATATCAAGCGCAATTATTTATCCGTCAAAATTAAACAATAATTTTGCAAAAAAAAAAAAGAAATTTTGCGAAGAAAAGTCAGAGGAAGGCCATAAGTACTTTAAAATGTTGATTTGTATCATATAAAAATGAAAAAGCTCAGATCTACAACATACATTAGGGGAATGGCAAAAGGAGAGGGGGAGGGCTTAGGGGTCAGGTTTTATTGCAAATGCAGAACTGACGAATATCACAGATGCATGAGCAACCAGTTTGGTTGACCATGGAATAATATAATTGGTTTATATAAACATAAATATGGCGCTCAGTTAAGAAACAATTTGCATTGTTTGTGATTGGTTCGGTTTTGTATCAAAATTGTCATACCTAATATATATCTAAATAATGGTCATTTTACTTATACTCTTTGTTCTTATTCCGGAACATCCGACATTGGTTGGTGCCAATCCGGGACTGGTTGGTCCCGGTCCACCATTAGGTGGTGCTGGTGGAGACTGTAATTGTCCACAAGCACAACTACCATGTCCTGCACCAGTAGCACCTTGTCCATCACTTTTTCCACCACTTGGTCCACCACAACCTCCATGTCCTCCACCAATATCATCATGTCCTCCTCCACCACCACCATCACTTTGCCTTCCTTGTCCACCACCACCACCACCACCACTTTGTCTACCAAGCCTACCGAGTCTTCCACCTCTTTCATTACCTTGTCCACCACAACCATCACAACTTTGTAGCTGTCCTTGCAAGCGCAAGAAGCGTTCCACACCTGTTGCTACAATTACTAGCGAAAATGGTACCAGTGGCCATGTTTTATGCAACAACAGTCATATTCGTAAAATTATCTTAAAGGTGGAACATATTCTTTTCATTACTTTAATTGCAATTTCTTCAAAAAAAAACTTTATGATATAATAAAAATTATTGGTTTACAAATGATTTGAGATCATTAATTTAATAATATCTGATGAGACATTATCAAATAGATCAATCTATGATTAAATAAAGAAATGTTGAAAATTAGTAAAGTGAAGAAAATCCAACATAATTTTTCATTTGTCCTTGTAAGCGAAGAAATACTCGCAGTCGTTGATTATTGCATACAATCTAATAATGGAAAATTGAAAGTCTGTAAAATTTCGAATTGCTTCCTCATTGATTTTTAATTACATATTTTAATACTATTGTAGGAGTAGAATACTTTTACGGAGACTTATATCATTTTAAATTGTAGTGTTATCAAACAATTTTTTAGAAGATTACATCGAATTCATTATATAAAGAATTAATAAAATTAACAATTTATATCGTAGCAAATTGCATTTTGTGAAATTCTTTAAAAATTTCAAACACTGTGCAATTATCTACGTGTTGAAATGAAATAACAAAAAATTAAAAGGTATAAACTACTATAGGGATCGATATTTTCAAGCCTTTAAATATTATCGCTGAAGTCTTTCTAATTTACTGAAAATTAAAGCAACTACTTCTTGCAGAGATGAGTTATTAAAAAAAAAAAATTATTGCTAGTAATAGATGAGACAATATATTTGTGACTTTAATAATGTTTTTCGTTTGGTCTTTTAAATATTTTTGTTTAATTTGCAAATTAATAAAGTGAACATTCGTCTATCTTCAAATAAAACTACTGAGAGATATGAAAATTGTGAGTAATAATGCAAGATGACACTTCAACCATTCTATTCCATTTTATGCTTTGAATTATTTGACCAATCTTCTGCAGTTTCATCTCATCTAAAAATTTTTTATATTGCATTTTGCAAAAAAAAATATGCAAAAGTTTACTATTTTTAATATAAAAAGTTTTGAATAACTTATTTAGGTGAGCTGTGAATTTTTGCAAATGTCTTTTTGGCAACTGAAGAAAAGAAGCAAAAAAATTTAATTGGAAATATTTTGTACTGCTGATATCTATTGATTTAATTTGGAATGATAAATTTGTTGGACTACGGGGATAATTCTACTGTGCATACATCTTAACCAATGGTTTTATAAACTAAAACAGTTTAGTCGTTTATGTCCTGTGACATGGATTTGTAAAGAAATTTAGAGACAAATCTTTCAATTGCCTTTTAAGTCATTCTATTTTAAGAGAAATTATAGTTTTACATCATTCTATTTTTAATTTTTTTGTCTTTTCACGATATCGTGCTACTACTAAAGAGATAATAGCAGAACAATAATTAATCTTAAATTCAACTATTTAATCAACGAAAAGATTTCATAGAATTCCTATATATCAATTGTGTTCATATCATATAAAACAATCATTAGCTTTTTTTTGGACTACTCTAGAAGCAAATTTAAGCACACACGTAGAGCTATCCTGTTCTAAAATTAATCTTTACTAATTAAAATCCATCTGTTATAAATTGTTAATACTATCTAACTTCTCTTCACCATAAACATAGGCAATTATTTAGTATCGATGAAGTATTATCTCTCATTCAGCTTAACAAACTACAAATATAATTTGGGATAAACTTTTGAAATGAATATGTTCTAGATTTTTAAAGTTTTGTTTTAAAAAAATTCTTTTTTTCTTCAAATTTAAATTTTCACTAGAAATGTCATTGAAATCGCTTATTTAATATAACCAGGGAAGAAATTAGCAGCAATTTCTGGAACAATATTTATGAATTGAATTCTTTTGGAAGCTATAAATATCATTTAAGCAACCATCATTAAACAATTTATCTTAAACGATAAAACATGAAGTCTATGCATGTATTGCATGCATACAATATTTCAATATTTCAGTGTAATTTTTTAGAGCAAAAATCATTGGGCAACATTCTATCACATAATAATCTTTCTATTCGTCGCATCAATTCATTTTCATAGGTGTGAAGGAGAAAAAAAGAGAAAAAGAAAGAAAGAAATGAAACATTTAAAAGAAATTGACAAAACTAACCTTTTTTTTTTACAATTAAATTGATGACGTATCCATAGAAAAAATAGTAGCATAATCCAATCAATACATTAAAAAACATGAATAAATGATTAGAATGCTATTAAACATTGAATAAATGATTAGCACGAATGCATAATAATGAAATGTTTCAGAATTTGAGCTCAGATGCAAAAGTTTCAAAAGCGGCCATTTATTCGGAATTGAAAGCGAAACAAAAGAATGATTATGTGGTGCTATGTTCGCAGTCAAATTTATCATTTACAAGTGATTCAATGAATTATTGTGTTGGTGGAAATACGGATCATCTTTGCTATGTATTCCAACTATGAGAAAGCAACTTATCTGTATTTTCTTACATATTCATTTTTCAAAATAGTTTTTGCTTGTTAGCAGCTAACATTATTCCTTGTAGATTTGAGTATTCTACTAGAAACATTATATCAAAGCGATGATAAATGAATTAAATTTCAAAAGAAGAAAAAATATTTAATGTTGATAATAGTTACCAATTTTAGATAATGATTACTGAATTGAGTCTTAATTCATCATTATTTTTTACTGGATTTTTGCAAAATCTTAAATTACTCTTTTTTGTTTTCTTTTTTGTTTGAAATATTGCAAAAGAAGAGCAGTCATAATTATTGTTAACCTTTTAATTATCAGAACACTTCACATCAGTTGGTGAACTTTTTTATTGCAGTAATTTAAAAATTGTTTTGAACTATCACAACAAGCAATAACTATCATTATCCTATCATGTTTTCAATAACTATCATGTTTTCTTATTTTTTTTTTTACTTTTCCTTAAAAGAAAAAATATTATTTATTTAGAAGATTAACAATACAGTAATTGATGTTAATATTGTTATCTGCTTCAAATATTTATTAACCAATCTGCACTCTTATATTCTCATCTTAGTTGTAATTTCAAGTTGATAAATATCCATAGTTATCGATGTTGTTCAAGTCACTGTTTAATTCAATGATTCAGTAATTTTATGCTATGTCGTACTGTTTGAGGTGAGGAAATCAACAGTTTTATCTGTATAGAAGATGAAATGACTATCTCAACTAAAAGGTTTAAAAAATTACAAGAAATCGTAATACCAGGAGCTGGAAGCACTTATGTTTCATCACTTGCACTTGTAATTCAAAACAAAAAAGCAGAAAAAAAAAAAGAAATTTTGTTTTATAGAAACGGTGAAAATAGTTCAAAACTTTGATGCTATATATGGCCATAACCTGTCCACAGTGATTCAAAATATCGTCCAGTATGAGTTCAATTAAAAAATTTCAGTCATTCGAATTATAAACAATCTTCTTAGCATTATTGCTATAATGTATACCAGAAAATGGAATGAAAATAAAGCAAATCAGCTGCTCGCTTTATTGTCATATAATTACAAATAGCAATAAAATGTTTAAATATTAAGCTCATAAACATTGATAATTTGTTTCACATAACATTTTTATGATGAAATTTCATCAATTGAACGTTTAAGAAATGCAAACGGCTTCAAAAATTATATTAAAGAATAAAATAATTTAAGCATAAACAGATTTATATATTAAATAATATAAATGAATTGGAAATAAAAACATATGATTGCTGAATTACATGCTGAATGTAAAAGAGTTTAGAAAAAATTGTAGCTTTGTCTACATAAACTATTAATTAATATGATTTGTAAAGGAGATAATTCCACCGAGCAATGATAACTACAATTTCTAAATGTAAATTTAGATAATATTCACAGAGCTTTCTCAGTTTCATAGGGTGTGTGAATTTGAGTGAGGCCGCATTATCATATTGGCGGATGGTGTATAAAGGTTGGGTAGGTCTAATTTGATTGTTATTGTAGTTGTGGTGAGGTTGGAAGCGGTTGGCATTGCAATTTCTGGGAATTTGTATTGAATTGGTAAAACTTTAGAATAAGGGGATGGAATCGAAGGCTGCCAGTGAATCGGTCAAGCCAAATGGATATGATACGGAGGGCAAACAATTCATCAGCACCCTTCCTAAAAGTATCAAACGACGAATTCAAGCATTGAAGAAACTGCAAATCGAGGGTTTGTGTATATCTCCTCATATTTCATTACTTGGCTTTTACGTAAAATGGTACGAACGAGAGAATTTAAGAAGTCATATAAAATTGGCAGTAAAAAAAGAGGAAGATCTTGGAAAATGACAGTGATAAGAGATGTTAAATCGGATTATGAAGTCGTTTTTCTAAATTTTAATCAAACCAAATTTTAGGTATCAATGTTGAAGCTCATTTTTATGAGCGTGTGCATCAATTAGAAGTAGAATTCGCTCCTATGTTCACTGCTTTACATGATAAGGTAAACTGTTCATCTGTTTCCTTTCTTCACTGTATTCACTGTAACTAAAATACATTAACAAGCAAAGCTTATCAAGTTCTTAACAGTCTTGGGGCGATTGATAATGTAATCACTGTAACTATTCAACGGTGTACAATGTTGATGAGCAGTTTGCTATTCAATATTTCTCTCTGCATAAAAATAGTGAAATAATTTGCACACTGTTGGTGTTAAGTAACTTCTTCAATGGTTGATTGGTTTCTTTACATGCTGTGCAGTTGGAAATGAGTTCCGAAAGATTTGTTGTACTTTTGAAATTTCACATCCACGACTACTGGATCGTGTAATAATCTCATATTAGTTGTACTTGTGTTATTTGCAGAGAAAGGCGATTGTGACGGGTAACTATGAACCCACTGACGACGAGGCTAATTTTCCCATTCTGCACGGTTATACGAAAGAGGAAATGGAAGTAAATGTTTTGAGGAAATCAGTTTTGCAAGTCATTATTTTAGCACGCATAAATGTTGTTGAGATGTTAAATGAATATGTAGGGTGTGTATGTATGCTGTCTATAGGGTATTTTTAGTTTATATTTGCAGCAAATGGAAAAAGCATCAGCACCAGAACCTAACCAACCAACAAAAGGCATCCCAAATTTTTGGCTACATCTGCTTAAAAACGTAGATCATATCTCTGACATGATCCAGGAGCACGATGAACCAATACTTCAACATCTCATTGATATAACATGTGATGTCGAGACGAACCCGGATGTAAGATTTTATCACAAATATTAAAATATACATCTGTGGTTTTAAAAAAGATATTGATTTTACATTGTTGGGGTAGCGAAATTAGTGCTAGAATTTGTAGCTGAAGTTTTGAGAACAAGTTGCTTTGTTTGATATATGCTAGTTTTTTATATATGCCTTTTTATTGGCCGAAAATTTTCAGTCCTATACTCTCACATTCTATTTCGAACCTAATGAATATTTTGTCCAAACGGAGTTAAAGAAATGTTATATTCTACAAGTTCCACCGGATGATGACGATATTTTCGAATACGATGGACCAGTAATAATCAATACCAAAGGGTAAGTTGCTTTTCTTTCCCTAATGTTACAGTATTTTCCATGGTATTATGTGGCCAAAAAAAAATCAATTCTAAATTTGTTATAGGAAGGCATATATGTACGCGATTTTATCGCAATTTCATATATTACGTTTACAGTACCGAAATAGATTGGAAGGATGGGAAAAACGTTACAAAGAAGATTATTAAGAAGAAGCAAAAAAAGGGCAATGCTGCTGGTCGATTTATTACAAAAATGGTTAAGGCTGACTCTTTCTTCAATTTCTTCGATCCTCCGCCTATGAAAAATAAGGATGAAGTCAATGGAGATGATGATGTTAGCATGTCTTTTGTTCCTCTTTTTTTGAACGTTTACATATTTATGTTTTTTCGAATATTTTCGATTTATAAAAATTGATTATGACAATTTGCCCTTGACAGGCTACTATGTAAGTATTCTAGAGAGAAGATATAGAAGTAAATAAATAAGAAATAAGAAGCGGGATGAACAAATTCGGCTTACGGGGTATGTAAAAAGCACCTATATTAAATTAACTAAATTTAATATAGGTAAGTGTTTTTTACATGCCCTGATCCATTAATTTCGTGTTTCAGGATACTGAAACTCAGGAACTATTGCAAGCTGATTTTGAGGTTGGCCAGTTATTCCGTGACCAAATTGTGCCTAGAGCGGTGCTCTTTTATACAAAAGAAGCGATAGAGGAGAATGATATTTTTGAATATGATGGCGATGAAGAAGAAGATGAGGTTATGCAAAACTATTTCTTTTGAAATTTTCCATTATTTGCAGTCGTTTGCGACTTAATCTAGCTTCATATCGAATGTGAAATTTCCAGTATCAACCCATTCCTTTAATGTAGAATTGTTGACTCTGCCATCATACTTCGTTCTGGAGCTGGTTGTTACTGTGTGCATTTCGGTACTGCTTAATCAATACGACTGCCACACCGCCACGGGTTCTCAATCTATCGGAGAATATCTTGGTCATGTTTAGCTTAATATTCATCACTGCAGAATTTTTTTAATGAATGAATATTTCAGACTGAACTGGCTGACGAAAGTGATAATGAATAACTGCTATTACTAGAACGTTCTGCTTAATAAACTGATTCACTGTATTGTCAAAATGTTTTTGCACCACTTCATTTTTTTTTTGATATATTTCTGATGAGATGTGTCTGACCTTTTTTTTTTATCTTTTGAAACACACATACATACAAAATGTAATGCATCGTTTGTTGCCGCAGAAAAAATATTTTATTGAAATCCTTCCTTTTGTGCATTTGGTAACAGTTACTGCCTTTGGTTTTTTTCGCATGCGTTACTCAAAACTAGAAAATTGGAACATTTAGGACAGCGTTTTAATTTCGTAGCAGCGAACATCATGGAAATACTTCATTCTTCGTAAAATCATTCCTCTGTGGAATGAAAGTAGTAATATCTGGATTTAATTCATGGACGTTATAGTCGGGTTGTCTACGCTAATCTAATGTATTAATTATTGTAAGGATACTGGAAGAAGATAAATCTTCAAGTCATGGAAGAAATTAAAGCCTTGAAAGTTTTGGATGAACTGTCCCGTGTAAATATTGATAATCCGGACCTAACAGATGTACTGGAAAGTAGGATCTTGTTTGATCACTCACTTTATTCGATTCCGGATTGTGCTGTACGTCGCCGTTTTTTTTCTGTTGTTGAATGTTTTCTTATTAGTCTGTGGCAGAGAAGCTGTTTTGGATGCAAATGTTTCGGTGAGGTGACACAACATGTCGTTTTCATATTTAACATTTTGAAAGATGTGGTCCAGGAAATTAGCTTCAATACAGGTGTGTATCTCTTATTCGTTTGCCAAGTTTTCTCATTTTTTCCATCAAGATGATACCACATTTCCTTCTTAGATTGCATCTTTTGCTCATTGCTGAACCTATCCGATGTCGTATAGTAGCATATGTGGAGTCTCGCAAGTTATTTGAATTCTGCAGTGCTTTAAACTAACTGGTACTGAGTAATTGGTTGTGTTATATTATTCCATTTATTGAAGTTAAAATATAGTATTTACTTACAGTGATTTCGTTCGTCTTAGGTATTCATGATTTTTTACATTGAAGATTTCATTCTACAGAGACCGTATGGTTTGGTGGTGAGCAATCAGGCCTTGAAACGAATCCACTGAATAATGCAGTCGTATTTCTCAGTTGCTGTTGGCATGTAGCCGCACTTGCTGTCAACACTTGTGGTTAGTTGCAAATTTTGCTCTTTATGGCGACTTCTGTTTATTTTTCTGATCTTACCCATCTGTTTACGCAAAAAATGAAAACTTAGTCAATTTTTTGAACTTTTATTGCACTATTATTTTTTTAATGTTTGAGATGATTCGGTGGCATTTCTTTATTCATTTGGCAATCATTTGTTTTCAGAGGCTAGTGAAATTCAGGGCTTATTAAAAGCTTCAACTCGTATGATTCCGCAACGCAGTTGTTTGTTAACAGCCTTATTGACACAGGATGAACGATGCCTTTCTGTTGCTGTTGTACTACTGCGCCTAGAAGCTGCCAAAATGTAAATTTTGAAAACTGATATAAAAAGTGTTTTAGCGATAATGATTACGTATGATGGACAATGATGCAGTTTGAGGTGTGCTGTCTTTCACTTTACCGCTCAATTTATTGGAATTTATATTATGGTGCCCTTGACAAATTTTTTTCTCTGGGTTATAGCCTATAATTATACAAGAATTTTGACTCTTGGAAGTATCATCTTATTAGAGTCAACTGTTAGGGAAATTGATGCAATTTGAAAATGAATGCAAACAATGCAAAGAGCTTACCAAAAGTAGGTATTTCAGAGAGACAGAGAGAATCCATTTTTTTCAAATGACAGTAAACGGCTTGAATATCAGTAAAATAGTTAAAAAATTAATTACTCGTAAATTTTAGCAACACTCCATCTCAGCTCAAGGCCATGTGGTTATTTCGACACACTTTATTTTCAATAGCCTATGACCATGAGGTGCGGAATTGTTTTTTATTGTCTGCTTTATTTAATTTGTTAACACTTCGGTGAGGGAAGATTTCTTTTTACGAAAATAAAATTTCGAATTTTTTCCAAATAAAATTTTTTTAGCAATATTAATTTCGAAACTAAGTTCTTGTTATTGAATTTTGCTATGTCGTTCTATCTTTATTATTTTGAAAAATTACATAGGTAGTTCTGGATTGGCTTCATTCGGAGTTAGCCGCGGTGCCTTTCGTCTTACGTTTCCTCAAAATGTTGATCAAGCAACAGAGAGATATTGATGGACAGCAATACAGCAGTTTTTCATGTTCACAGTATGTTTCGTCGTATGATTTCTTAAGGGACAATAACTAACTTATTCGTTTTACCATTACATTGTTTATATAGACACATGCTTTGTCTTCATGAATTTGTATTGGAAGACAAATTTGCATCTTGAAACAAAAAAGAATCTGTCAATTCGATTCAAAAAGACCGAAATTTCTTTCCGCTGTTTTGTGTTCAGCGCTTTCAAATTATTTGGCCTACAAATTTTGTAATATTTTTGAAAAAGATGATTTAGTTGTATCTTAATTATGATGTTCATTGCCTGTGATGTTTAGGTGCTATGAAAGGAACAAGAAAACTCGGTTTGTTCGGAGCAAAACGGTTTCATCTGGTAATGATCTAACACTCCGTATTGGGCAGCTGCACGGAGATTTATACGTTACTACTTCCTACACATTCTCCAAGATCGAAAGGGTTTTTAATTTTTATATCAGATTTTTTTGATCTTCGAGCAGTAACAAAATTATTCATCAATTAAAAGGATAATTACAATATTGTTGTAGGAAGTATGTCTGATGGTGCCTAAATCTATCGAAAAAGAATCAGGCGACCAGCAAATTGTAAAATGTTTCGAGAACTTACGAACTTCCTGCATACGTTTGCAAAATTCGGGTGATGCCCCATTTAATATGATGCCCGTAATTGAGACTGTTCAACAACTGCAGAGGACATATAGTGGAGAATGCTACTGTGTCAGCACACAAAGGCAGCCGTGAAAATTAGCTAGAGATTAATATAACATAATATGTAGAATATTTTTGTTCGCATGTAGACATATATTTTGCCTAGATTCTTTTTTTCTTGTTTAAATGGTGTGATAAAAGAAAAGAACAAATAAAATGGTTTAATACATGCGGGTTTTTGTTGAAGAATATCCGAGCTCTTATTTTCTCGCTAGTCCATATTTCTTATATGTAATTAAAACTATCAAATGTAATCTTCGCCGCAATACAGGTAAGTTTAATTCCCAATGTCCGTTAACATAAAATGTTTCTTCTTTCTTCATCATTCTTTAATATCTAAAAATATTGATGGCATTTCATAGATCATAGAGATAGCGAGCATCGCGAAGTTTGCACGATTCCAGAGATGTTCCTGTGGCATAGAGTTTCAACAGACATTGGTTTTTAGCGAGTTGATTCTGCGCCTGTGGTCGCTATTTTTAGGTGATGAGTTGGTCGGTGAGTGATAGTTGTGGGTTTATAGGTCTTGTGAGTGGTAGCTTAGTGTTGGATTGGGTTGTGTGTGTGATTCGGATATGAATGAGCGCGTTGATATTTTCAAAATTTTTAATTCCTTGCTTTCAGAGTGATTCTAAATAATGTCGTCATCGGGAAGCGATCACCATGGTTCCAAAAATCATTCTCAAAGAAGGTTTGTTTGTTGATTGATAAAAGAAATGGAAGAGAATGCCTAGAAAATCGTCCAGTTGAGGAAGTTATCTAAGAAATATACTCAGCATGCACACGATTGGGGACCACATTTTTCAGCATGAATTTCACGGGAGATCTGATATCTCAGTGCTTCATCTTTTTCTGAATCATTCTATAAGATGATTTTGGTATGTGTAACGCTATCAAGGCCAACGCGATAGTTTATTTGCATTGAGAAAGCGAACCAATGATAAAATAAATCTGATTAGAAGTGCGTGAATCAGTGCGAAGTCATTGGTGATCGTTTTGGTACTATGTACAATTTCTGGTTTTTACATTTATAACATTCAGTGGACGATCTGACTCACATAGCAATACTCCGCCTCGTCGACGTAGCCGTTCACGATCAGTTAATCATGCCGCTGAGCAGCTTGGTCGGCTACATATATGTAACTTCGATGAAAGTCTGAGAAAGGATGATCTGAAAGATGCATTTGGGTATTTGTTTGATGCTTTTTCTCTGAAACATTTTATGGATCAGGTTTTTATTAATACCAAGTTTAAAGGCATCATTCGCATCCGAATTGTGTTTTTAAATTTAATTTTGCAGATTTTTTTAAATTTGCTGTTATGTATGTTAGAAAATCTCTGGCGGCTGTAGAGACTGTTGAGCAACTAGTTCATAAAAATGATCTGTTTTGCATATTGGCAAAGTTATTTAGTAAATTTGGCGACATCGATAATGTTTGGTTGGCATCATATCCACCACTCTTTGCGTTTGTCACGTTCAAAGCGAAGGAAGATGCTGCTGATGCGCTGAAGGAGATGAATAACGCGTACGTAAATTCATAGACGGTTCATTTGATATTAGTTACCATAGAGAACACATGTAGTACCATGAAGAACAGGTAACATTATGAAGTTTATGTGTTTTATATCTAAAAATTTTGGAATTAGAGGATAGCTTGAGACCTTGTAAATATAATGCGATTTATTTGTTGTTATCGAGTGTTATCGATGCAGGTACATCGGAAGAAACAAGATTAAAGTAGCCACAGCTCATCCACCAAGAAAACAAGGTGAACGAGGTCCACCGCGTCGCTATGGTGGCGGCTATCGAGGAAGTGGTGGGCCACGGTTTGTTGTCTTCGATATGTTTTGTTTGCATCATTTTCTGTATTGTACTGTGTCATTCTTTGAAATTTATTGTTTTTGCTGTTAGCTATGTTCGGAATCAGTAAGCGTCTGTTTATAATTTATTTTTCAGTTCATATGGAGGATATGGCGGTAGAGGCGGTGGATACGGAGGAGGTTACGGAGGACGATCAGGAAACTCTCGTTCGTATGGTGGAGGCGGTTATCGAAGCAGTTATAGTGGTAGCGGAAATAATAGTGATCGAAGGTAAGATTTGTGATTGTTGGACAGCGTTCAGTATTGTGCATCAGATTGAATAATCCAAAAGAACGTCTTGCTGCACTTTGTTTCATGACTAATGCAATGTAATTCCCTCTTTTAATTTCACCATGCTTCATTTCTTGTCTTACGGTATGTTCACGTCCTTGATTTCAATCTGAACGCAATGAACTATGCTCGATTTTAAAATTTTCCACGTACTCTAAAAAATAAACGGAAGAACTGCAGCTAACTGACCTAACAGAGATAAGTAACTCCTTAAAACTTCATGCCTCTTTCAAACTGTCAACTGGTTATGTCGAAAGTTTGTAAAATTCATTTTTCTTTATATTCCAGTACTCAGTCTCTCTTAAATGAAAGGAAAGAAAGCATTGCTTATATATAAACTGGTCCATCCTGCATTGGCCGAACTATGCAAACTGGTGAATGAAATGAGTTATCCTCACTTACGGCTTCTGCCGGCCAAGCCAAATTTTGGTACTACTCATATGTAGATGGTTCGGTTAACAGTTGTATGGTGGGCGGATACTGGTAGCTTTGACAAAATCGGCTGCATTTGATTGTGTAAAATGCTGGATTCTGCGATGAATAATATTGGTGGTTACATCACAAGATATTCTTTTAAATGAAATATTGGGCATTGTACTCCTACAAGTGGTAAGTCCGATTTTGCGCACTTGTATTTCTGGGTTCTGTCTCCAGAGTAAGTCCCGGATCACTGTCTTCGAAAATGAAGGCTGTTTTTATTCTTTTTGCTGGTTGTGCTGTAATGCGATTTGGTTGTCCCTGATTTCCAATATTGTTCCTTTTTGGGTTTGAAGTCGTTTAAATGGTATTTGCCATAATGTTCGTAATTGTAAACTAATTTTACGTAAAATTGGCCAGTGTGACATTCGGATTGTTTCCCAAGTACCGACCAAACCTTATTCCCAAAATGGCATTAGCATATCAAGTGAGGCTCTGCTCTTAAGTCATCAGTGTCCATTTGTCTACCAATAGCATATTTATCAAACCGCTAGTGATTCATCTGTTGAAATTAAAAAAAAATATATATCCTCAAAGCTCGTTATATTGATATTTGATCGGGCTGGTATCAGCAAACAATATATTCCACTCTGACTTAATGTTATGAAATCTGCACAGTTTTGATGCTATGATTTTTCAAAAATACACCTAAAGGTAAGCTGCTCATTTCTTACATTTTGTCGGTTTCATTATTTCTAATGGCTGAACCTTTCAGGAGTGGCAGCAATCGATACAGTGATCGCCGTTGATACATTGTGCCCTCCCGTGCAGACAATGATTATTTTTCAGTTCTCTACTCTTGTTTTTTTAGTTATATCAGTATTTTTGAAATTAAATTTTATCTTAATTTCTCTGTTCAGGTAATATCAGTAAACGGAAACCCTTTTTTAAATGTAAAATTTTATGTAAAATGTTGAGTGTTGAAATTCAACATATCGTTGAAATTTTTGCACTGTTGGTCAGATTTGCTTTTTTTGAAATCTGAACGAGATGTGAGGAAATAAAACAAATTTATCATATGAGCTATGTATTACTGTCAAGTGCTGATAAGCAACAAATATATTGTGGATTGCTGTAAGTGAACACGGAATTTGACTGCGCAAAAGAAAGTATAAACTGGTAAGGGAAAATGCGGAAGCAATTTTTGAGAAACATATGGTGCAAGTTTTGCCACGGATAGTGTAAAAATATTTTGGAAAATTTGGCATCTTTTTGCTTCAGTATGTAACTTCCATGATTGTTGTAACTGTTTGATGTTTTAGAACTAGAGGTATGGGTGTCAGTAGATCTAAAATATTGAACCTCTAATTGTAATGTGTTGTGGTGAGGTGCAAAACGAAATAATTTCTAAGATTAAATACATCATTAACTGAATAGGCAATCATGACAAGGGGGGTAGTTAGGTTTGTTGGCAAATCTTGTGCCAAATGAAAGTCGATTTTGGTATAAGAGTACTATTATTACCGGGAGTAACAGATTTATTTGATCTGATTAAAAGTAAGGTAATGTTGAATGCTATAATTAGGGACGAGTGTCAAATGATTTTACGGAAGAAATATGAGTAAGGGGGGACTGCATAATAACAATGAAGAAGATACTGCTTGAAAATGTTACTTCCCAAGGGCATTGCAATACAATTAAGCTAACTGAGGGGTTGTTACTAAACTTAACATCTTATCCAAATGACTGTTGGATACAGGGAATTGGATAGATGTTGCAACACTTATCAGTGGCGATGTTGTTGACCAGAGTCGCAGAGTCGCATTTGATTGGAAAAAGTGATCAAGATATGCTACCATTTATTAATCATGGAAATAACTTTTGGTATCGTTGTTCTACAAGGTGACAAAATCATTGTTTTATCATCGAGCTATCTCATCCTTCATGTCTTTTGTGTACCACTGATTTATAAAAATGTATTCATAAATAGCAGATTTAAGATTCATTTACATCAGAACATGGTTCCATGGATTATCATTGAAACAAATTTCTGTTATAGCAAGCTATTAGGCTAATTGCAAATTATTATTAAATGATTGACAGTGGAAAAAAGATTTTGCATGCTCGAAATATCATCAAACTAAACCATATATGCTTTTTTTCAGTCTTCAGGCAGTAATGTATCAAATGTTTTTCTTGAGTTAACAAAAAAAGTGAAGATTTTGGGATGGAATATATTTCGAAACCTACTTTAAAGAGCATTTCCATTTGATGACTAAATCTTTCCATCGATAATTTAATATAGGGAGTTATGTGTACTGATTACATTGATATTAAGTGCTTAAAATTAGATTCGTAAGTGGATTTTGTGACTGCCAAGGAATTTGCAATTGTTGAAGGAATAGTTTAAGGAAAAAGATCAAGGAATTTGTAATTGTTAATTTTCTAATACGGATCACCTTTCACGTACAGTTAAGGCTACAACGACACTTGTTAAGAATGGATTGGTTCTTAATTTTTATTAACACCTAATTGCAAATGTAAATAGACTAGCCTTAAATTTACCTCGCTAATATAGGGTATTTAAGCGTGCATTCTGACTTCAAAATCTCATTATAAACTGTTCAGTAATGAGATTATGATCCTGTAAATTAATGAAGTCGATATGCGCTGTTATAAATTTGCATTCTACACGGAATAAGTTATTTTTATATGTGTGATAATCCTGTATTCTGTAAACAATTAATACTCTTTCAAATTATTAACATCATGTAGCGTGAAAATAAAGTAAAAAAAATAAGGAAGCTTGAGGAATTACTGATTATAATCAATCTTTTGAGCAAATAAATTGATAACTAATAGAAGAAAAATGATAAATTTTGTGCCAAATTTCATCATCAAAATCCAAAATTTTAATCTTTATTGCATCCTTTTTGAAATAACATATTAAATAAGAAAAAGGAAAATTTTTGAAACCCTTTGCATGACAATATTGTAGTAAATCAGACGGTTGGTGTATGTGTGTGTATGTGTGTGTGTGTATGTGTGTGT